CATACCTAGTTGTCGCCACACATGCTTAACACTATCTGAAGCAAATAAGTTTATCTTGGTCTCATCAGACCACAGGACATGGTTCTACTAATCCATGTCCTTTGTCTGCTTGTCTTCAGCAAACTGTTTGCGGACTTTCTTGTGCATCATCTTTAGAAGAGGCTTCCTTTTGGAACGACAGCCCTGCAGACCAGTTTGATGCAGTGTGCGGCGCATGGTCCGAGCACTGACAGGCTGACCCACCACCCCTTCAACCCCTCTGCAACAATGCTGGCAGCACTCATATGTCTATTTTATTGATTGATTGATTGATTGATTGATTTATATCCTGCCTTTTTCCTACAAAGGTCTCAAGGCAGCTTACATCATTCTCCTCCTCCATCTTATCCCCACAACAACAATCCTGTGAGTTAGGTTGGGCTGAGAGTCTGTGGCTGGCCCAAAGTCACCCAGTTGGCTCCATGGCTGAGTAGGGACTAGAACCCAGATCGCCCGAGTCCCAGTCCCATGTTCTTAACCACTACACCACACTGGCTCTCCCAAAGCCACACTATTTCCCAAAGCCAACCTCTGGATATGACACTGAGCACGTGCACTCAACTTCTTTGGTCGACCATGGCGAGGCCTGTTCTGAGTGGAACCTGTCCTGTTAAACCGCTGTATGGTCTTGGCCACTGTGCTGCAGCTCAGTTTCAGGGTCTTGGTAATCTTCTTATAGCCTAGGCCATCTTTATGTAGAGCAATAATTCTTTTTTTCAGATCCTCAGAGATACTTTGCCATGAGGTGCCATGTTCAACTTCCAGTGACCAGTATGAGAGAGTGAGAGCGATAACACCAAATTTAACACACCTGCTCCCCATTCACACCTGAGACCTTGTAACACTAACAAGTCACATGACACCAGGGAGGGAAAATGGCTAATAATGCCCAATTTGGACAATTTCACTTAGGGGTGTACTCACTTTTGTTGCCAGCGGTTTAGATATTAATGACTGTGTATTGAGTTATTTTGAGGGGACAGCAAATTTACACTGTTATACAAGCTGTAAACTCACTACTTTACATTGTAGCAAAGTGTCATTTCGTCAGGCTTGTCACATGAAAAGGTATAATAAAATATTTACAAAATGTGAGGGATGCACTCACTTCTGTGATATACTGTACCTCTGCCTCGGTGCTATCCTTCAACAGTGTCCTTGTTGCCATCATCTTAGCCTGAAGGGTTTGGAATTAGGGGCCTCCCTTCTGACAAAGCCATATGGGTCTCACAAGGATAAGGTGGTTACCCAACCTTTCCTTCTTCCCAGGTTTAGTTTACCCCCACCCCCACTCAGGGCTCAAGAATGGTCTTCCTTGATGTTCAAAACCATCTTTCCCTCAGGAAAGAAGGCGGCACACTCTGGCTGCCCGTTGAGAAGTTAAGTTTTATTTTAACTGGTCCCCCTCTGACCAGGCCCTATGGGTAGCATAAGCCCTATTGCTGATATAGCTCCCTACTAATCTCCAGGTCATTTTCTCTACAGAAAGTCTCTATGAACTCCCTGGCTAGATAGCTGCATACTAGATGGCATCATGCTAATCTATATGCCTAGTGGCCTGGTAGTACCCAAAGGCACCCTGGCACATTCTGTTAGGGGCATGGATGCCTCAATGACTTTGAGAGGGAGAGCTTCCCCGGACTATGGTTGATTTTAGTTCTCTACATTCTCAAATATGAGTTGAACCTGGCAGGATAATCACCTGTAAAGCAGAGGTTCTGTGCTGTATCTTACAAATGTGGGGCCTTCCCTAAGTAATATTTTTTAGTTTGGGCAGAATTGCATCCATTCGGGCTGGTTACATGTAAACATAATTCTTTGTATCATTTTATCAGTTATCTTTGCCAGTTGATAGTTCATTTTCTTGAAAATAATAATTTCTGAGGAATCTAACAATATCTAGTGACAGTGCAGTCCTGAGCATATATACTCAGAGCTAGTTCAGTGAAAGTTCCCAGGTATTTGCAGCCTTAGCCTTCCATTTCTTCCATGCCAAACAATAACAGTTAAAGTTTAAAAGTGCTGTTATCTCAGAATGTCTAGATTCAAGCTATCTTTTGTAAATGGCAACTACACTTTAAACTATGGTGTTATGCAAACTTGACCAAAAGGGGTTTATCAACTGAACAAACCTATGTAAATAACTTTCAAACTAGTACAAACACATTTTGCCTGTTTATTTTATTGAAGTTTATGCTGTTGCAGGACTGATAACTAGATTAAAAGCACCTTAAAACATTCAGCAGCTCCTTAGATCAAGTGACATTTCCTTGTGTAGGCGGGCAGAATTCGTAGAATGTAGAGTCCCAGATGTTTTTCTGATCAAAACAAGTTTACATCAAATTCTATTTTTAGCAAGCTTTCCAAATTGTTTATCTTTTCCATGTTAAAATAAATTTATCTAGAATATATTTATTTAAACCATTTTTACCCCACTCTACAGCCAGAAAGGCTCCCATAGTGGCTTGCAGATTAATAGAAGCACAGCAGTTCTCACTAGAGAAAAGAATATACAAAGAAAAAGGGAGGCAGAAAAAGGGTTATTACCAGCTCTTAAAGTTAGAGTACTTAACCAGCTGATTTGGAAACTTTTCAGGGATGGAGAAGCTAAAAGGTGGTGGTAGGTCAGCAGTTATTCACTCCCCAAAGATCACTTATGCATTATCCAGAGGGAGGGGGGACAAAAGATAACATACCTTCTTAATATGTGCATGCACTGATGTATATGTCTAGCTGCAGATTTGGAAATCATAACTTATACAGAAATACAATTTATCTTTCCATAGTCAAGAAAACTGACCTAAGGGCCTGCTTATTCTACTGTCCAGATATTAATGGTTGATGGGCAAAATCAAGGCCCGTGCATACTCTTTTTATAGTTCTTTGTTTTAAAACTGGACTCAACAGACCTATAAATAGAGGACTGTTCTCTGTAAAGGAGGGCACATACTGTAGCTACCTCACACTCTGCACTCAAATGGAACAGCTGCTGCTAGGTGATAGTTAAGGAAGGACTAAAGGCTGTTTAGGTACACTAGCACTTCAGTTCTGTTCAAAATCTGTATAGTAATAAACTAAAGCTAAAGTTTTATTATAGGGCACCAGCTACGGGAATCATGTATATTTTCTAAATACTTCAGACTCAAATCGCATATGTAAGTTGGATCCTGTTTTAGCCCCATGGAGATCAGTGACTAATTTAGTCTGACACCAACCCTGAGAATGCTAACTTAAGGAGGAAGAAGAGGTTCCTTGAGGGAAGCTTGAGGGAAGCTGATAATGCTGAAAGAGTAGGTGCAGTTAATATTAGATAGCTGGATAATTTTTGGAACTTAAGAGCACTTTGCCTATTTTTAGTTAAAGCAGAATTGTTAGAACTAAAAAGTTATATGACTCCAGGTATTTCACATTCAGAAAATTTCATTTTTCCTTCATTTATTAACAAGCTCTACTTACAGAAATCAGAGTCCTAACTTAAGAAGCATTTGTCTTACATAGATGACTGCTTTGATAAACAGCACTCCCAAATGCATTTTGTTATTCAAAGAAAAAATAACATAATTAGTCTGTATCTCCTGAAATAGATGTTGGCATTTATGGTGCTCTCAAAAGCTGCAGAAACTAACATCATGTTTTGAAACCAAAATCCTAGAGCACATCCAGGGCGCAAATCTGCATATTAGGTACTGATGCCTTTTATGTGATCCTAGATCCTTCTGGACCAGCACCTAAGAGTCCATCATTCAGTCCCTATTGTATGAGTTGAGTCATAATTAGGCCTCTTTACTGGATAACAGCTGTTATGGAAACCAATCCTATACCAGATATATTTTCTTACACTATTAGTTTTCAGTTAGTTTAGAAGCAGGCCCAGAGCAGGGCAACACACCAGACTTGTTGGATCTGCTTTTGTTTCTTCTGGTTGCTTGGTAAATGCCATTTGTTAATTTTGTAAAGTGAACTTTTCTTCAAACCGCACAGCACAGGGCAGAGAAGTAATATCACTCTGCATTTCTGTTAAGATTTCCTGAGCAGTGCCTTCCTGGCTGCTTTGAACCTAAGTGAAAATAGTATTTGCATTTCATTGCAATTCTGTGTTTGCTTTGAAAGCAGTTAGTTCTAGTTATCAAACTGTGTGCTTAGACTATAATAAGCGTGTGTCCTGATTAAATTTTGTATAGCTTGTTTTTGAACTGGAAAAAAGGAAAATATATAGCATTGTGAAATAAACTCTATACTGTGTGGTGACAATAACTGAGGTACTTTAAAGACCAAAACAACCCCCCCCCCCCAAATCACCAAAAGACTCCTGGTAGTGCTTGTCACAATGGACTGGAAATTTGCTTCTTTACCTTAGATGCATGCAGATTTCCTCCAGGAATCGAGAGCAGGGGCTAGCGAACTTCCTGTAACAAATCACCTTAAGTCAAGATAAATCTGTTTGTACATCCTCAAGTATAAGTAGGGCAGAACAAAGAGGCATGTATGGTTAGGGGCTCCCTGCCATTGATGGTCTCTCAGAGTCCCTAAAATTCCCTAATGTGCAGCTTGCAAACCAGGTATTCTTTCTTCTCCAGCAGAACCAGACCACACAAGCAATTGACAACACAAATGACAAAAGTACACTTTTAGAAGTAACTATTCTTGATCTTGGCCCCCTACTTCTTATCTCAGTCAAGATGTAGCAAGAAGTCCTGTATTGTGTATGTATGTGGGCCAAGCAGAATGGAAACCAGTGTATTTTATTTTAAAATACACATTAGCAAAAATATTTGCAGTCCTTGCTGCTATATAGTTAGACATTACAGTAGGAATCATAATGGGCACTTTGGGTTTCCCAAGTATTTTTACATTAAAATCAAGCATTGGCCATTTCCTACCTGGTAGCAAATTGGTGTGGTGCTAATGTATGTTTAAAAGTTGGATTCCAGTATCAGTTCTTTTTTCTTTTATTTTTTTAGGTGATGAAAGTTGTGAGTACCTTCTTTCTAGTGGAAGATTTCTTGGCGAGAAAGTATGGCAGCCTCACAGCTGTATGATGCACAGATATAAACCAAGGTAAGATACTCTTCTAACTTCTCTTATATACAGGTGCTGATGCCTTTTGGGTGATCCAATTTCCTTCTGGACTAGAACTTAACAGTCTGTCTTTATACCTTTACATTGTTACTATGAAATTCAGGGGGCATAGAATGGCAGCATGTGTTTTGGGTTGACTGTGTATGATTGTATAGTCTTTTTTAGTAGTTTCCATTTATTAGAAGTAAAAATGAATAGTTAAGATACCTTGCTTAATATGAAGAACTAGAATATTTTTAGTTGGTAGCTTAACTGTAGAATAATGTTTAAGAATGCAGTTCAGCTGAGATGAGAAAGAGCCTCTGAATTCGGGAAGAAGTCATGGAGGGTGTCTTCACCTCCTTGCTCTTCCACTTTGAATTTTTTACACAGTCATTTTTGGCTGTCTGGTTTTGCAAGAGGAGAAAAGGGGGCTAGAGCTACAGGGTATCTCATATCCTGGCCTCCCCAGTATCCTCCCCCCACCCGAACAGCCCCTTTACCCTCTCTAAGGTTGCTTTTCCAGTCTCAGAGAGCAGCCGATGTGGTTCTGTTTGTGCTGGCTGCAAGGGGACAAGGGACTAAGATCAGAGCTCCAGTTCCCAGCTCTGAGGCCAAAGTACTGTTGTGGACTCCAGCATTGGAAATCTGAACTATCCTGGATCCCCTGTCTCCCCAGTGCTGTCTAGGGGCTGCAGTCTTGTTCTCTAAGTTAGTGTTGGAAAAGTATTCAGACCAGTCCTGCTCACTTAATTCAGTGGCTATTTCTTCCTCACCCTTGGTGCATAAGATATGCAATGCTGCATTAAGACAGTTGTTGGAGAGCATGCTTCTATACTCTGCTGGCATTAAGGCATTAAAAGAGAAAGTGAAGTGGTAAAACACATCTCCCACTTCTGTCATTTTTGATCACAGGCTTTATTGTCAACTAGCTATCAGGTAAAGCAGCTTCTTACTTTATCCTAAGTCACACCGTTGCCATTATCTTGTGGGATGGATATACCAAAAAGGAGAGAGCCTGAGCAGGCCCTCCATTTCAGTGTAGCTTACATTTGTTTTGTTACCTCATTAAACTCTACTTGTTTAGGTTGTGTTGGAGCCCCAGCACAAGCTACTAATGTTTCAGTTCACTTTTGTTTTCTAATCTATAACAACTATATATGATGCTTTATTAGTTAATTGAATGTAAAGATGGTAGAACTGTATATAACTTAATATGGAAACAAAATTCTTCTTTTCTTATTAATTATCTAGGTTTGGGCAGATATATGGGTTTATTTTTATTATATTTATTTACTTATTGTGCAATAAATTGGTGTACTCTACTTCTGGTGTGACTGTTGAGTTAGCATGTTAGGAATATTCCATACCGTTACAGATTTGTGTGGATTACTCTTGTTCTGTCATTCTTGCAAATTAATATTAATATTTGTTTTTACAGTGAAGCCAAAAAATGCCTTGAAGACAAACATATTGCATTTATAGGTGACTCTAGGATTCGTCAGCTCTTTTACTCATTTGTAAAACTCATAAACCCTCAAATTAAGGAGGAGGGAAACAAGGTATGATTTTCATTATTTTCATTCTCAGTGTTCTTTTTTATTGGTATTACAGGGAAGCTATGTTCTTTCTAAGTATGGTTATAAAAGTATTTCTGTGAAAGAGATAAATAGAGAACTGGACCATAGAATAGCATTTTTCGGGCACAGTTCAGACATCATATTCGCAATCCCACACAGCATTGTTTATTGGATTTGGGATCTGTTGAGTGTCCATGTGGTCCCTCACTGTTTCTGCTTGTTCTTGTCCTGGATGGAAAATTCCCCACAAACCAGAATTACCATGATTTGATCATGGTTTGCAGTGGAAACACAGTTTCCTAGCTAAGACATCCTGATGCATTTAAATAATCATTTACCATTATATTTTGTATTAAGATGTGTGAACAAAAGCAGGTGAAAAGAGAGAGGCATCAGTGCATTGTTAGTTGGATCAGGGATGTGATATCTGAACTAGCACACTGAAAGTGGTAGCTGCAGAAAGAGAACTAAGAAGTCAGAGAGAAATGTACCAATTGAAGTTGCAAGTACTCTTAAGTATGAATGGCACTTGCTTACGAGGACTGGCCCTTGAGTGTAACATTCTAGCAATGTTCACTGCTATATTATTGAAAGAAGACTGTGCTTAGCTGGAGAAATACTGAAATATACATGAAATTGCATGAAAGTTTTCTGAGGGCCAAATTACACTTTTGGTTTTATGTGTCAACGAGGCTTTTTTTCTTCATATAGCAGGTACAGGGGGCCTTGGTGAGTTATGAAACCAAAATGAGTGAAAAGGGGTTTGTAATACCTTTGTAGTGCAGCTCTAGATGAAAACTTTATACCTCCCCCCATCTTCTGCTGCTGTCTTTGCCAGAGAGGAGTCCTCCCATGGGACCAGTGGTGGCTTTTTTTCTGATAAAAAGATTCAAGGATGTGTGTTTGAGTGTATGTAGTAGTGATTTTTAGGGGAGGGGGGTGGTGGATGATTGTGGTAAAGTTTAAGATGCCTCCATCTGTGCCATGGGTCTGCTACTGATTTCTGCTCTGTCCCGCACAGTTGCATTTTAGCGTTTTAAAAATAAGTGGGACTAAAAATATACATTTTTTAGGATATATTATGTGTTTGGTGTGTGTGTGTGAGAATTTTTGGAAATTTATAATTTGTATTTCTTATTTTGATAGCATGGAAATATTCCTTTTGAAGATAAGTCTTCTTCACTTAAAGTGGTAAGATATCTAATTTTCTTCTAAGTGCTATGAAGAAAGCAAGTTAATGAAGGTTGTAGTGGTGGGGGGCAACTACATATTCATGCATAACCGTGGAAAGCTTGTAGTCATCTTTGTATTTTTTGGTATCAGGAAGACTGCAAAATTAAATGCTTTGAAGATTTGAAAGAACTAAGTGCTGCAGATGCATACAGCTAAAAATAATATAAATTAACAAAAATGATTGAATTTTCTATAATTGAAAATAATTGAGGCCTTCAGCAGGATTGAACCAGCTTATACCACAGTTCAGTAGCTTCTCGAAGTAATGGTACGAAAATTTCTTCAACATACATGTACATTGCAGAAGAAAAATATGCATGAATGTATGTTAAGGAAATCTGAGAATTCAGCTTTCCCAAGTGTGTAAAAAGGCACGTAGAGCTACAGCACATGTATATTTTTAACTCATGTGCTTTCTGCATTTGCTGAGGAATGCACAAATGCTAGTTCTGCACACCACTGCAATTTTTAGTTTTGCTCTTAAATATATTTTAGGAGTATATATTTAAATCTCCTCATTAATATTTTTTTCTGTCCATTTAAAAACCTTTCATCAATTTTAACTTAAAGCATGCTTCCCCTGTATCTTGACCTCTGGGTGATACTTTCCCATAACCAGTTTCAATTGGAACATTGTTAAGTACCTCCCAGTGCATTATATTGTGGGGAAATGTGCAATTACATTAATTATTAATTAATTTAATAATAAACATTTTTATTTTAATGTAATAAAGGGAGTTCTATTTTGAATCCTGTCTTTTTTAGTAATTAATTTTCAACCCTGCAATAGGTGGGAAACCTCAGGCCCATGGGCCAAATCTAGCCCTCCTGGGGTTTCAGTGCAACTTCCTGTGTTCCCCAGATGGGCCAGGCTCCTTTCCCCCAGCCTCTAACCCTTTAGGGGTTTCCCTTCTATTTTGCTGTTTTACAGGTAGGCTTAGTTTATGTCAGTAAGACATAATATTTAAGTTATTTTGGGCCCCATCCCTTTTGCCTTCAACCTCAACTCCTTTGACTTTGATCTTAGCCATACTGGAATGCATTGCCGAGGGCTTGTCCAATATTCAACTTCTGGGCTCAAAGAAGTTCCCCACTCTTTTTGTATAAAATCAAGAGTAGCGGGTAGAGAAAACCTAGATCACTTTTTGAATTAAGGGTTTCCAGCTCACATTTCAGTTTCTTAGCCGGTAAACTATATTAGTTCCCATTCAGCTTGAACACATTTTCTAGCTTGGGAAATGCATATGCTATAGCAGAGGTTTACAACCCCCGGTGCACAGACCAGCGCCAGTTCATGGAAGATTTCTTGCTGATCTGTGCGGGGCTGCATCCTGATCACTGTGGACCAGTACGGGGTGGATTGGGGCCTGGTTGTGCTCCACCTCAGTTGGCATTGTATTTCCGGGGAGTGTGTTGGTGCTGCCTAGGGGGCCAGGGAGGGGAGAGATAGTTTGGTGAGAGGTGGCTGGGAGCCATGCTGCACCTATTTTGGTATTTTGCTCTTTAGTTGGCATTCTTTGTTGCTCGGTTTCTGGATATTTTGGACCTCCTTCCTTCCTTCCTTCCTTCCTTCCTTCCTTCCTTCCTTCCTTCCTAGTATTGTATTTGGAAACTAATACACAGAATAGTGTATTAGTGTTTTTTGTTTCTGCCTCAGCCGTCCCTGAGGTGGTTTTCCTGTTTTCACCAGTCCCCAGCTGTGGAAAGGCTGAAAATCACTGAGTTACAACATAGTTCAGCCATGGAGATTTGAGGGAACAGGTAGCACGAGTCATTAGAATTTCAAACTAGGATCAAGTACACAGTCTGGGAGCACTCATTAATCTAGCTTAGCCGCTAGGGATACAACTGGACTACATGGCTCAGAAATCTTTTATCAGCTCAAGCTACTATGTTGATTATAGCCCTTCCTGAACAGGATAGCCTTGGTTCAGTTATCTGTATCATGGTAACTTCCCATTGGAATTACTGCAGTGCATTGTATGAGGGAATGTCTTTGAAGATGATCTGGGAACATCAGTTAGTTCAGAATAAAGCTGTGAGATAGTTAACTGTGGCTGGTTGAGATAAGTGTATCACTGCAGTGCTTCACTACCTTTACAATTTCCCATTCCATTTTCAGATCCATTGCAGAGTGCTGGTTTTGAACTATAAGCCACTACATGAATTGCAATAAGGGTGACTAAATCACTGCCTCTCTCATGCATTTATTTAGACGTTGAAATCTTCAGGTAGTCTTCTCCTAGTGAACACCTATTCCCCAAGTGCAATGCCTTCCTTAGAAAGGTGTACCATCCATTTTTGTTTCATTTTGACACAAAGCAAAATACCATTTTATTTTCCAGATCTTTTAGTCTTTTAGTTTTAACTTTAAACTGTTTTTGACTTGTGACAGTTTTATGTTGTTTTGTATTTTTACTGTTTTAGTATTACATTTTAAAGTGTAGTATTTCTTTTTTAAGCCACCTGGAGAACTTGTAATACTTGAGAACCTCAGTACTGTTAAAAATGAGGCAAATAAATATTATCCTGAGCAGTCCAGAGAATAATATTCTGTAGCAACCAAATGAAATTAACCCTGGGTTTATGAACCAATAGAACATTTGTGAACTAATGAGAAGACAGGTAGCTTCTTACAATGTGCAGTTTCAAGATTCCTTACACTTGCTAATCTGCATTGTTTCCTTTAGGATTTTCTGTGGTATCCAGAAGTCAATGGTTCTATGAAGCAACGTATCAAGTCTTGGACTGAAGTGAGTGAGTTAAACAGATAAACTGGCTTTATGGCAGTGTATTACCCTCTTCTGGGAAAGCTGTCCCCTCTTCTGTTTTGTCCTCCAACTGTATGATTCCTGGCAGCCATACTGGCTTGCTCTTGGGCTAGGTGGTGTTGCTGCTGAATGCTAGGTCAATCCAAAATAAGATCTGAGCTGGCTGAGGTAGTATTGGATCTGGGGTTAAGGACCTTGCGAATGGTGGTTCTGCTGGACCTGAACTTTCATGCTGAGGCTGTCTTTCTAGGGCAGCTCAGGATTTCGTGGTTCCCATGACAACCTTCAGGCTGTCCTCAGCTCAACACATGTAAAAGGACACACTCTTGACCTGGTTTTCTCAACTGGGCAGGAAGATGGTGATCTGCAAGTTGGTGGGGGCGGGGGGGGGGATAAATATCAACTACTTTGTCATGGTCAGATAACTTCCTCTTGAGGCTTGGATTTATGGCCCCTTCTCCCCTCTGCAAATGTGGGGGATCTGTTAGAATGGTCCACCCCTAGAATCTAATGGATCCTGAAGACCTCTGAAAACCTCTGGGGATATTTCCAGCTGGTATGGTTGGTGCTCCTGTTGAAGACTACGTCATTCTATGGAATACAAAGATGACTCAGGTGGTTGACCCAATTGCTCTCAAGTGCCCTCTTTCCTCAGACAGAGCCCATTCAGATCCTTGGTATATACCTGAGCTGAGAACAATGAAGCAAAGAAGGAAGATGTCTAGAACTCAGGTGGAGGAGAATTTATGCTAAGTCTGACCAAGCATGGTTTAGAACTCACTATTGAGCCTACATCATGGCAAAAAGACAGGTGGCCCCCTTGCTGGCTTGGGGCTAGGTTTTCTGAAGGAACACCTTTTCTCATATGTACCTACTCAGACATTAATATCCTTTGGGGTCCTTCTCAGGGAGCCCCCTCCCCAGGGAAGCAAGGGGTGTGACAACTAGAAGAAGGGCCTTCTCAGTTGTGGCAGCCCATCTTTGGAATATGCTTCCTAGAGATGTTTGCCCTGGTACCTGCTCTTTGTCCTTTTGACACTAGGTGAAAAAAATTATTTTCCAGACAGTTTAATAGTTAAAGATGTAGTTTTAATTAGATGCTGTGGCTGAACCAGTGTATCAATTTGATTAGATGTCTTGGGGTTGTTTTTGTTACTGTTGCTTATTAGCTCTTACTGCTTTTATTGTGATATTTTAATCTTTGCTTATATGTTTTAACTTTGTAAACCACCAAGAAAGCCTTTTTGGCTAGGGGGCAATATAAAAATGAAATAAATATTCCAATAAGCCAATAGGAAGGTATTTCCCTGTTGCCTGCTGCTTCCCACTGCCACAGACCAGCATGGGGGCCACTTGCACTCTCCCCCTGTTCTTCACCTTGACCTCGGTTGACATCACCATTTGTGTAAGAAACAGCAGTACTGTTGAGGAGGCAGGGGAAGCAAGAGGCACTCCTAGAGAAGCCAGCCACTTGCAGGGAGTCATGCAACACTGGGTATGCCTTGGGTGGGGCCTTAGAGACCAAGTTTAGGCTAACCTGCTGAATCATGCTGTAACTCACAAGGGGCTATGTGGCTGTTTCTTTAGCTAACTGCACTGATGGGTAATTGGGCTGGGTGTGGGGGAAATTATAGCTGTATCTTATGATTACTGATATTATGTATTGCTGATATTATTATGACATTATATATTCTATCATTATACTAAGTTTTGTTTTGCATTGCTTACATTTAAATATTGTATTGCTTGACTGTATTGCTTGAATATATTTTTGATTTTGAATGGAATATGTATTTTCTTGTTATAAGCCTGCCAGGGAGACTTACGGGTTTTGGGGTGCCATACAAATGTAATGATATTCAGAAATTCCTAGTTCTGCTTAATTTCAGTATAGCATAAAGAGTTTCTGTTCTAGCATTCGGTTGCACTCATTTTTAAAACCTAACTAGGGCTATGTTTTTTATTTATATATATATATATATATATATATATATATATATATATATATAAAAAACATAGAACTATATATATATAGTTCTAAAGTATATATCCTTGTCTCACTCCCTTCTTGACTGGAATTTCTTTAGTGCAGTGTCCTTAGACATTGCAGTATACATTCATCCAAGAATTCTCATATAATTTATATATAAGCACAAGTAGTATTTTATCAATTGAAGAAGAGTTCAGTTTCTCCCAGAGTTTGTATTTGGAGATAAGGTCAAAAGCACATCAAAGGTCAATGTATGCTGCATAGCGTAAAGATCGTGCTCCAGAAGAATATTTCTCAACCAGATGTTGAAGGGTTAGTGCATGGTCAATGACTGAGTTACCTTCCCTGAAACCTACCTGCTCATCAGCCAAAATATTCTCGGTTATAACCCTGTCCTGAAGCTTATAATACAGGTGTCTAGTGTAAAGTTTGCCAGCTATACTAAAAGGGCTAATAGGGCAGTAATTGGCGGGTAGATCTCTGTCCTTTTTAGTAAATTAGAACCACCAAAGTTAAGCCCAAATCCTCAGGAACCTTAGCATGTTTGTCAATATAGGTCAATAAGGATGCCAGAACAGGTACCTACCAATCTATGTTTTGGATAACTTCCGCTGAGATGGAATCGTACCCAGGAGCTTTTTTTGGTTTCAGATGGTTAATCGGTTTATACAATAACCTTTTAATTTTTCATATACTTTAATAGAAATTTTAATATTTTATTATTATTGCTGCTATGCTATGTATCAATTTTATTATCGTTGCTGTGGGATATTGATCTCATTGTATTGGTTTCATTGGCTGTTGTCTTATTTAAATATGTTATTGATTGTTTATATGGTCTTTTAAATTTTTAAACCACCCAGAGAACCTGTGGGGTATGGGGCAGTATAGATGTACAATAAATAAATAAGTGCGCATAGCCAAAATTTGTGAATAGTAAAATAAGTTATTTAGAAAATTTGACTGTTAATACCTTTTTTTGACTGTATTGAGAAGACTGACCTGCCTTTCACTGTGCCTATAGGGTTCTTCTCCAAAACCTCACATAATTGTAGCAGGAGCTGCTACGGTAAGTTCTTCAAATATTAGTCACTGCAATGGCCAAATGAAAATTAAGACACTTGTCTCCTGGTTCACCTCTTTCAAATTCCACATGTTCTTGTTGTTATAATATTTATATCCTATTCCCAGTGAATGGGACTCAAGATAGCTCACAACATTAAAAACTTCTACAATTAAAACATTCAATATACATAAAAGTTAAAATATATTAAAATTGAGCAAAATGCCGAGATTAAAAATCCTACAAACAATATAGAGAGGATGTCTCTGCTGTTGCATTTATGTATGTAACTGGGCATTGGACAATCTGAATTACCCTAGGCATACCTTTTCCTCTCTCTGTTGCTGCTCCTGATTGAAGAGCAACATTTTTTTCCCTGAGTAGACATCTCTGGCATGGAACACTACCTTTGTTCTTGCTGTTTCCTTTATGAATGAAAATTTCCATAGCCTGATCTGTAGAGAGCTTTGATATATACCCTGGGTACCACTAATGTTTAAATGGAGGTGCCGATTTGCTACTTGTGCAAGGATAAAATGTGGTTTCTACAAGTAGTAGAAGGCTTGTGCAAACAGAATGACACCACTGGAAACAACCCATTCTTGGAGTTCTGTAATATTATATTTTGCAAGTTTTAACCATTCATTAAGTAGTAACTGTCTTTTTAATGCATTAACTCATTTAGCTATAGCAGTTTGTAATATCTTATATCTAATTTCAGAGTGTTCAGTATCAGCCTATATTTATCTGCTGCACCTTTTCTTTTGATATATTTTAATAAAGTATTAGAACTTATTTTCCCAGATTAGTGAATCAGTAAGTAAAATTTGTGTATAACAGTTTATCATTTTGATTATGTTGACTACAAATACATATGATGATTGTTTTACCTCTTTAGTGGTCTATCAAAATTCACAATGGCAGCAACGAAGCACTCACACAGTATAAGATCAATATCACATCAATTGCACCTCTTCTGGAGAAACTGGCAAAGAACAGTGATGTCTTTTGGGTCTTACAAGGTAAGCTTAACTATTGAAACTTGTGAATTAAATTGGTTCATTGAGGAAGATTTTCAATGTAATGCTGCAGTTCCAGTCTAGATCTGAGTATTAGTACCAGCCTTTTTTCCTAGTATAAATTCCAAAAGCAGATGAAGTTTGGTATTATGGCTGGAGTCATTGATTAGTGCTTCATTTCTCAGTTTGTGGGAAAGCACAATTCTCACTGGAGAGAAACGCTTTTATCCATAATGGCTGAACAAAAGTTTACAATGTTTTCCTTCTTTGGAAAGAGATTGACTATCTAGACTGCAGCAAATCAGCTGTTTGGAAAGGCTCCATGCTACAAATTTGACTGGCAGTCTGTAGGACTCCCAAGCTGGTGGATCTTACCCGTGAAAAAATATCCCCAAAATTATGGTTACCGGCTAGGTTGGCAACAGCCTGGATCACTCTGTATTTAATATGTGCTTGAAACAATTCAGTGGGATTATCAGGAGTTTTGGAATTATTGTCAGAATGCTGACAAGACGCAGCTCTACTTTTCCTTTTTATCAGGTAATGTAGTAGATGTGCATTCTTGACTAGCTGCAATAATGATACAGGCTGTGGGCCAGTAAACAGAAGCTGAGTCCAGATATATGCTGTTAGTAGTTAGAAATATGTTAGATATATATTTTTCTATGTTCACCTGTTCTGGATGGCATTGGACTTCCACTGAAGAAGCAAGTTCATAGGGTTTTCATGGAGCCACCTTTAGGTTCAGATGGGCCTCAGTTACACAGAGTGCCTTCTATCAGCTTTGTGTGGTGGATGAACTAAACCCCTTTCAGGGATAACTTGGTTTAAGTAGTCTTGCTTTTGTCCAAATTCCAGGTTAGATTACTACAAGGTACTCTGTATGCAGTTTGGAAACTGTAGCTTATGCAATATGTGGAGGCTAGATTGATAGCAGGGATTAGAAGGTCTGATCATATAACATTGATTCTGGCCTTGCTTGCACTGCCTACCTGTATATTTCTGAGCCAAATCAGGGTGTTGGTTTTGACCTGTGAAGTGATAAATGGCTGGGACTGAAATACTTGGCAAAACACCTACCTGATATCACTACCCATACACTATGATCCTTCTCCTTCAGAGGAGGAGGATCTTTGCCATCCAACTTCAGAGGATGACAACAAGGAAGAGAGCCTTCTTAATGCCATTCCCCCAGTTGTGGGATGATCTCTTCAGTAAGATTTGCCTGACACCAACATTGTCATCTTTTTCGGACAAGGCTTTAATAATTCTCAATATTTTTACTGATTGTTTAACTCTGTTTTTATAATCTTGTAATCAATTTCCTATTATAATAGAGTATTTTTAGAGCTTTGATCTTTATGAACCATCCAGAGATCTTTAGCTTTTGTGTGATTTAGAAATGCAATAAAGAATGAATGAGTTGTCACATGAATATATGGACTAGCTTCATAGTCAGACCTGCCAGACCTCTTAACTTCCTCTGCAGTGAATTTTGTGCTAACATGCCCTAACTGGAGACATTTGTATCTGGCTTATTTCAGTGCAACATTTCATAGGTGACCAATGTATCCTAGAGGTTGAATATTTATTTACTGCTTTGCTTAAAAACAAGTACCTCAACATTTTTTCTATTCAGATCCAGTTTATGAGGACATGTTGAGTGAAAGCAGGAAAATGATCACTAATGAAAAAATAGATGCCTACAATGAAGCAGCCATCAGTATTCTGAACAGCAGTTCAAAAAACTCAAAAGCTAAAGTAAAAGTTTTCAGTGCATCTAGGCTGATAGCAGAAGAAACTATAAGTCAGTCCACAGATGGTTTACATCTTCCTGAATCAAGCAGAGAAACAGTGAGTAACCTCTTTTTCAGAAAACAGCTTTTAAGATTAATAACAAAAAGTAGCATCCAGAATTTAGCCTATGTGGCCAATAGTACCAACTTTGTTAGTTTTTTGTAGATGTCATTTTAAAGTTTTCATTCAAGTGATTTGGACAAAATTATTTACAAGCTATACTTTCAAAATATTTTAGACAATGTAGATAACCTGTACTACTCTGTAATTGTCATGCATTGATAGAAAACTCCAAATTGCTGATTCCTTGGCTAATACAGGTTTTTCATTTTTTCCTGGAAGAATGGATCTCAAATCCCCTATACTGTCATACTATCTTTCAGTGCAGAAAAGACCTATGTTGCAATGCAGCTAATAGACTTAACTGAAAATCCTTAGTTCAGACCTATGCATTAACTTCTTCAAGCTGCCAGCTTCATTGCTGCATCAGTAATATGGGGGCTCGGGGAATGATTCTGGCTTTATTTGTGGACATTGCTAATATATGGAAAATTGTTTGAATACTTGTGGAAGAAATCACTCTATAAATCAGGGGTAGGCAGTTTGTGGCCTTCCAAATGTCTTGGCCTATAGTTCATTCTTTATCCTTGGCTTGTTGACTAAAGCTAGTAGATATTGTAGGCCAAAATATCCAAGGGGATGTAAATTTAACACACCTGTTTAAATTCCATGTTTTATTAAACATCTTCTTTGTAGTAGTTGAAAATATTAAATAATTTCAGAATTGGCATGCTATGCATGTGTATAGAAGGAATTTGAGGGGTGGATGAAACCAAGTAAAGCCAGAATGAATATACAGCTCTGCTGTCCTCTGCAGTGAGCAGTGGTTGCCAGCAGTGTTGCTGTCATTCTGAATGCTAAAGTCCAAATGAAATAAAGGTCACAAGATCCCTGAGTTCATCTTCTACAGTTTTTTTTTTTAAATCAAGCCATATTAGATCTTATTATGGATTTGCCAAGATCTCATCTAGTTTAACCTTAAGAAAAAAGGATTACATTGGAAAGACTGAAACATGGTCTTTGTCAAACCTGTCTCTCTTCTTAAGCCCAGACTAGGTGAGAGTTTGCGAAATTCAGAACTGAACCTCACATGGTTTAATATTTAAAAGGAGTGGTGGTGCTGGCAGAGGGCAAACAACTATGGGGGTCTGATTATGGATTTTCCAACTTCTCGTTTATTTTGGCTGTCTCTTGATTCCCATGTGGGCAAGGTTCAGTCAAAATGTTAAAAACATTGGCAGTGCTTTATTATATGTGTTTTTAAAAATGAATAAAGAAAAATGATACCATACATCTATTTTGATCTGACATGTTCAGGTACCATAGTCCAATATCTGGACTTTTGTTTTTCCATGAACAGAATGCAATGATTCTCATTAACAACCACTGCAACAAGATTATGAAGCCAATCGATGGTTCCTGCTGCCAACCTCGGCCTCCCATTACTTTGATACAAAAGCTAGCATTTTGCTTTTTTTCTTTATCCATAATTGGATATTTAATTCTCCTTCTCATTCGTCGTAACAATCACCGGAAGAATAAACCATGCACTGATATGGAAAGTGGAGAAGAGAAGAAACCTGCCACCAGTACACCAGCAGTTTCCACTATAGAGACACTCTTGCAATCCTTATGCAAACTTGGTGTGATTATGGGTTACTTCTATCTTTGTGACAGAGCAAATCTTTTCATGAAAGAAAACAAGTTTTACACTCACTCATCATTCTTCATACCAATGATTTACATCCTGGTATTAGGAGTATTTTATACTGAAAATACTAAAGAGGTAAACACATTTTTTGCTTTTAAATAAAAGATCATATTTGAACTGACTTTAAATAATATAAACATTAAATGACATTTTTTCAGTGTCCTTTGTTTTGTTCTCTTTGGGACCATTGTTTTTAGACATTCTAATGTGCCTTGAGTGAAATGACCAACTAGTAGTTATGGGCATAATCTTATACATACTAACTTGGGAGTTAGTCCCATTAAATTCAGTGGGAGTTGCTTCTGAATAACCTTGCAGAGGATTATACTGTAAGCAGGCAAATCAGCACATCAAGAAAAATGTAGTGCATAGGGAATAGGTGAGTTGTTGTGTCCTGATTTAGATGACATTTCTACAGTATGTGGCCCTGAGCCAAAGAGCCACCTAAGGTGCATGCATCTGGGCTTCTTGTTTCTTCTTCTTGTCCCAGTAGTAGCTTTATGCACTCTATCAAATCTACGCTTCCACCTTTCAAAAGACTTCTGTTTACAAATAGAGCATTGTGCTGCTCTCTGGATTACAGCCTTCTAGTAGTTAAAATGCATAAAAATTATTCATAGGATAATAGCTACTACAATGATGAATACAGTAGTTTCAAACTTATTTGCTTCATAGCAGTGGTTGTTTTGATTTCCTCATTTGGTAGATACCTGTTTGTATTAGTTGGAATAACAATGCTCTCATTTATTTTGCACAGACTAAGGTGTTAAATAGGGAGCAAACAGATGAATGGAAAGGCTGGATGCAGCTCGTCATTTTGATTTATCATATCTCTGGAGCAAGCACTGTAAGTATATGTTACCATTTTAGCATGATTTTTGTAACAGAAATAGCCTGCAATTTAACAGTGAGGCAAAAGTTGAACAACTCTAATAAAGCTTCTCTGTTCAACTTCACACAGGGGTGATTACATTCTATTTTGAAAGATGTATTTTTCCAAAATGTATTTTCTTGTTTTACCTGCGGTATGAAGTAAGACTAGTGAAAATTTGAATTACTGAAGAGGATTTGGACTTACTTAAAGACAATAAAGAAGATAATTCATGTGTGTCAATTATGCCATCTTTGGTGGCTCACTAACCCTCAGTCCTGCAGTTTTCAAATTGGAATACTCCCCTGGGGTTGGTGGGCACAAGACCCCTTGAAGGGGGATTTGAGGTAGGGAGATTTGAGGTAGTGATTCTAAGGCAGCTTGAGCTTTTCTCTCATCACTAGCTGAATGTGGGTGTAGTTGCACCCCCTCCTCCTGTGATCATCCCAGCCTGGTTTTGAAAGAGCTGCTGCTTTAATTATTCTTATAGCTTTAGGAAGAGTCAGATGTCCTATTGTATTCCTCCTTAAATGCCACAGGAGTAGTGTCCCAACCAACAGAGCTTATGCACAGCCTACATGCACATGTGTCTGTTCACTTTCACCTGTGGGACAGATACTTAGAAAATACTGAGTTGAGGGGCTTGATGTTTGAATGCTTCAGTGGTGTGGGGAGACAGTTGAGCCTTGAAGTTCCTTTAATAAGATAGTATTATGAAGCTGGAATATAATAAGGGAGAAAGTTCATCTAATTTCCATAGTATTAGATAGGATTTAAATCTTTTAAAATTACTTTATTTTTTAAAAAGTCAACATACATTTTTATTCATAGTTTCTGCCGGTGTACATGCATATCCGTGTATTGGTTGCTGCATATCTGTTCCAAACAGGCTATGGACATTTCTCATACTTCTGGATTAAAGGAGATTTTGGCATTTATAGAGTATGCCAGGTAAGATATTAGTTAACTCATGCATAAATAGTTCATGATTGTCTACCACAGATGCCACTCTCTCTTTCCTTGCTGCCACTGGGGACCACTCCGTGTTGAATAGCTTCCATTCTACTCTGACTGCCTGGTCTGACTTTTAAGGTGACTCCCTTGTGCTTTTTCAAGGTGGAATGATGTCATCTTTTCCATGTTAAAAAATCTAAAGGCTATTGGGATGTCTGTCAAAATTTCTGAGACTTCTGGTTTGGAACCCACAGGCTTGTGACCCCTAGCCTCAAGTTCGTTTTTTGGAACTTGGTCTAGTACCTTAGCTGGTGATTTAAGAGCCCCACATGACACTGAACTTGAAGTTGTGGCAATTACCTGGAAAGGAAGGAGTGACATTGCTTGGAAGTTACCTTTCTCTGGTACTGTCTTCTGGTACTGAAGACAGTTATATACATATGCTTCACATCTGAATGTTAGATTGTTTGAGGCTATTAGCAAATGTCAAGAATATGTTTCATTTTGCAATGTACCAAGGAGGTATGCTGATTAGATTAACTTGTCTAGCTGGAGACCATCCTGTGGTCTGTTTCAGTAAAGGGAATGGGCTTGGAAAGAGCAGAAGCATTGCATCAAGTAGCCAGAACTCAGAATCCCATGCTAATGAAGTTCCACTGTCTGTTCAAAGATGGTGTTATGCCAAAGCCGTACCTTCTGTTTTTCTGGATGATACATATAACAGTCAGGTCAGACCGTATCAGGTAAGTTGGCAAGACCAGTTCCTACCCAACTTCTTGTCCCTAAGTTATTGGTCCTACAAAAACACAGAACACTTCATCAGCTGACTCTGTTCACCAGTACAGACAATGTATTTGTGTTCCCAAGATAGAATATACTTGTTTGGTATAATGGAGTAATATATACCAGCAGCAAGAATGGACAGCTAAGCTGTTATCTGAACTGTATGCTATTCTTTTTAGATACCACTTCTACCTTCCTAGCAAGAATAAGTGAGCTGGCATACCAGGTTTATATATTTTGGTTTGCATTGTTTTAAGTTTCTTTTCAGGCTGTTGACCTGTTACTGATTGAGGGTCCTGTTCAGCAGCAGGAACTGCAACATACTTTCAACATCAGTATTTTCCTCTAACTTAGGGGTGGGCAGAACTCAGACTTGTATTATCTACGTTGTTTTTGACTAGAACTCAGAGATCCAAATGACAGGTACAAAATAGTAGCTCAGGAAAGCAAACATATAATTGCTCAATAAGGGGACCTCTGAGAACTCACTCATCTCCAAAATTTGTTCTCAGAATTGGAGTTTGCTTACAAGTCTGTCTGTCTGTCTGTCTGTCTGTCTGTCTGTCTGTCTCCCCACCTCCTCCTCTCTCTCTCACACACACCTACTTCTGTTTCTCCCCAAGTATACTTAGGAGGGATGGGAGAGGTGGTTTGTCACTATTATTAATACATTAAGAATTGGAAAACCCTTGTGCATTACTACAGATCACCTCAAGAGCTACTAATAGAGCCAAATCTACCTTCTGCCTGCCCTGTTCTTAACTAATCCATACTTTGCTCTGCTGAATTTAAGTTGTACAGAGCAATCTGATGAGGTTCTTGGAGTGAACAGGAATTCCCTTGCTAGACTTCCTGAAGATTTTTGGGAAAGTCTGCATCCTAACTTTCCCAAATCTCATCAGGAAGGAAATTGCTTGTTCTGGAGTGGTACCCAGTAACCACAACCAGAGGTTGTAAAGGCTTTTGGGTATATGTGTGGGATGCAGGTGGCACAGTTGTTTAAACTGCTGTGCTACTGGGCTGGTTGATCGAAAGGTTGCCAGTTCAAATCTGCACAACGGGATGAGTTCCCGTTGCTCCATCCCAGCTCCTGCCAACCTTGCAGTTCGAACAAATGCAAATGCAAGTAGATAAAAAGATACCACTTCAGTGGAAAGGTAACAGCGTTCTGTGCATTTCGGTGTATAGTCATGCCGGCCACATGACCACGGAGACTGTCTGCAGACAAACACTGGCTCCCTCGACTAGGGAACGGAGATGAGCACCGCCCCCTAGAGTCAGACATGACTGGACTTAACGTCAAGGGGAAACCTTTACCTTTTACCTATATGCTGTTTTGAGTTCATGTGTATAAGTTTTTGATTTTACAGTATAAATAGATTAATACATAGATACAGAGCAGTTGTAAAGAGTAGTGGTAGAATATGAAATTTGCTTCTCTGAACTGTTTTTATTAAGTTTGGGAAAGAAAATTGACTGATTTACTAAATGTTAAGCAGCCATACTGTTTTAAAAATAATTCAAAGTATGCATGCTCTCTTGAAATGAAATTAATTCAGATGAAATAACATTAACTTTTTTGAATTTGTTTATACAGAAATGTGCATCTAAAATCAGGGTTCATTCCTTAAGTTTAATAAAGAAATGCTTCCCTTTCTTAACAGGTTTTATTTCGGCTAAACTTCCTGGTTGTGGTGTTGTGCATAGTGATGGATCGGTCATACCAGTTCTACTACTTTGTTCCTCTCGTCACAGTCTGGTTTATGATAATATATGTTACATTAGCTCTGTGGCCTCAGATAGTCCAGAAGAAAGCCAATGGTAAGTATGATATCTTTCTGTTCAGAAAACTGCCAGTTTACTAAAAGAGCTATCTGCTTTATTTTACATCGAGCTTCTAGGTTGGTGTTAACAATGTAATTTGTAGTACTTGATACTCTCAGTAGTTACTCTTAACCTAACTATTAATCTGTAAACAAACTGTGAAAACACTTTTATTTCCCCAAAGCACAACTAACAAAGCTTAGAACAAAATAAGGGCAAGCTTGGATTTTTTAGGAATAATCATGGCAACAAGCTACCCTGCCCAGGTTTCATGATGTGAAACTATACTTCCAAGACTAATTATGTTAATGCCCCTGCCATGAGACCCATATGTGCACAGAGGTGCAAATAAATCCACTGTGGCTTATTTGCCATGCATGATTGTGCAAACCCCATCCATTGTTCTCTAGCATTGCCCAGTAAGAATTTTGTGGCAGTCTGTAAGTGCCAAGTGACTAGGTGGGCATATGCAACACAATGAATATCCTATTGTAGTCTGTCCACAGTAAAGGGCTTCATTTGTTTCATCAAAAGGGTGAGGGCTGACCCAATTATTCTATGCAGTGATGTAGGCTGGGCTTCCTCCCCCCCCCCCACCCCAAGATCTGCCCTTTATGAGAGGTGTGGCCTTTTCTCAAAGGAATGCTAAATACCCATCTGGTGCAAAGAGACATCCATCATGTTAAGTTTTCCTGGTTCAAGCAAGAAACATGAGATCAGGATTTGTTTGTTTGCTTTATCTTGATCCTGAAGGAAATAGCTTGTTCTTACCTCCTCTCAACTATCTGTTTCAAGTCCTCAGTTTTCTTTCAGCTCTTGTTCTGTCTCTTACCTTAGCATACTTTTCTGTCTTTCTAGATTAGGCCTTTCTCTTCTTTAGAAATGGTTGTCCTTTTTCTCATGCTTTTCATTTTTCACCACAGGATGGCATAGCCTAGTTAGAAGAGCTCCAAGTGTAGTGAAGAAAATGAAAACTACAGAAATAAGATTTGAGGTGATCTTGATAGGTTGGAGTACTGGGCTGAAAACAACAGAATGAAATTCAGCAGGGACAAATGCCAAGTTTTGCATCTAGGAAAAATAAACAAAATGCATTGCTACAAGATGTGGAATACTTGGCTCAACAATACTTCAAGATAGAAGGATCTTGGAATTGTAGATCACAAGCTGAATATGTATCAAGAATATGATGTGGCTGCAAAAAGAGCAAATGCTCTTCATTGAGCTGCATTTATAGAAGTATTACTTCCATATCATGTGAAGTACTAGTTCCTCTTTACTCAGCACTGGTTAGACTTTATCTGGAGTATAGCTTCCAGTGCTGGGCACCACAGTTTAGGATGTAGACCAACCGGAAAGGGTTCAGAGGAGGGCAACAAGGATAATCCGTGGACTGGCACCAAAGGCCTTTGAGGGGGGATGGAAAGAATGCAAGAAATTGTTCTTCCTTTTTTCTGCCCTAATCCTTCTCACCCCTCTGAGTGGGTCTTGCACACTGTATGAGAGAAGGGCCATTAAAATCCATCAAAATCCTTATTTGTATCCTTTCATCCAATGGCCTTAGGGCAGAAGTGTTCCTGTCCTAATCTAGCCAGATGGCACAAGGCATGTATTTTTGTGGCCTAGGAAGTTAAAAAAGCTCCCTAAACCCACTGTAGTACATTCTACAAAGGCTACAACTGTCCAAGTGGCTTTTTACTTTAAACAAATGCCTGCTTAGAGGAGATCTGTAGAACAGCCATATGATCGCCGTACCACACATTTGTAAGGTATCATAGGATGGACAAATATGCTTCTGTCAAAGCAGCCTTTGGATGTAGAGTATTCTAACAGGCAGAGGGTAAACCTGCTTTGGAGCCCACCTTATGGAAATAGTTGCTCTTGTACCTTCCTATGATGGATGCCCCCTCATATTGGGTGAATGGAAAATTGGCTACTTACCATGAACTTCCATTTCATTTTAGTGTTCAGAAGACATCCTTACTGCACCCTTTGGCATATTTTCTACCACTGTTGATACTAGTATTTATATAATTTTCTCCCGTAGTGTGTCAGTATGCCACAGAAGGGTTTCCCCTTTTCCTTTCTAACTTTCTGTTTTTTTAACTTATAATTTATGACTCATCAGTCCAAATACACAGCTAGCAAGGAGCTTGATGGAAGGAGATATGAAGGCCAGGACCAAGGCAAAAAGCCTGGTCACATATTCCTTGGCTGTCCTAGGCAGTTGAAAGATTGGATCCATCATGGAAGTCACCTGTACACCAAATCAGAATGGAACATCACAGTAAATCCCCAACTTTCCCATCTCTGCGAAGAAGTGGGCTGTTCAACAGGAGAAATGAAGTGTTCACAAAATTCATCCTACATTAGGCTAGATACAAGTTTTTAAAAATAGCTAATTACAAAGATGCACTGATGCCTTTGTATTATATTTAATATACAGATAGAGCAGTTTCTGAAATGATAACAGGTTTTTTTTGGGGGGGAGGGGTTTGTAAATACCAATCAAGCTTTGCTTTTTCTTATTGCTGTTTCCACAGGAAATTGCTTCTGGCATTTTGGTTTACTGCTGAAACTAGTTTTCCTGTTCATCTGTATATATTTTTTAGCACACTCTCAGGTTTGTATTTGCACTGTTTTGTATTTTTTGGAACAGAGAATGATAGAATCCAGTTATCTAACTTTTAAAAACCATTTAGAGATGAAACATTGCAGTTATAAGGAAAGGAAGAAAGGAAACGTGCTTGGATAGGACAGTCACAAGAACCATCCTTTATGTTTAAAAGGAACATCTGTGCCTGTTGGAAAATGACAGATATGCTATTAGCTTGGCAGTAAATCTATATATGATGTCCCTAGAAATGGGTGTTGCAATGTATGAGTTCATCCAAAGGTAGAACAACTGCTTTCACAAAGCACATCAGCCTCTGCTTGCATCCCAAATTGTTTTGTTTTAGGGAGAAAGAATTGTTTCATTGTTTTAGTTTATTTATTTATCCTTGTTAGACTTGGCAGCCAAAACCCAGGTACTAAACTTTTCTGGTGAAGGAAAGTATGTTAGAAAATGGTTGGGCTTTCTAACAGAAAAGAGCAGTTTGAACAATGCAATGTTCTTCTCCTGGGGTAATAATCTTATGAACTTGTTTCAGTATACATATCTGTCTGCTGTAAGAAATGGTATAATTGTGCTGATGGTCCATTGGTGTGACTAGGCTGTTAAACTATTTTCATGTTTGCTTCTTACAGGGTATATTTGAGAAGATTTTTTCTACCTGGCCATTGTCCAAATGTTTTGAACTTAATGGGAGCATCTATGAATGGTGGTTTAGGTGGAAGTTAGATCGATATGTATGTAATGTTAATTTTGAATTTTTATGGCTTTTATTTATGTGTGGCCTTTCTATAAGTTATGGCTCTCAGGATTGTGCAAGTTAAAGCAAATTGTGATCTGAATTTGCAATGAAAACAAACAAAAAGATGAGAAAGAACTTAGAAGTTCTTGAGTCAGCCATAAAGCAGGTACTTTGTTTTTTCCATATTTGACAAGTGTATCCTGCAACACTTCAAAAAGAACAGAATTTGTGATTAAAATCTTGGTTTGTGTTCTACCTATTAGATGATAGCTCACTAATACACAATTACACTATTACTGTAGGCAGAAAGTAGGGAGAGGTAACCAGTGGGCAGAACTGCAGAGTTCAGTCTCCAGCCCAGTGCTTGTCCCACATTTTTATTAATTATTTGGATGGAGGAGTGCAGGGAACACTTATCAGATTTTCAGATGGCACAAAATTGGGTGGGATAGAAGAAACCCTGGAAGACAGCAACGCAATTCAAAGTGATCTTGAAAGATGGGCTAGAAACAACAGAATACAATTCAAAAGGGACAAATGCCAAGTTCTGTACCTAAACCAAATGCATTTACTAGATGGGAGATACTTAGCTCAACAATGCTATAAGTGAGATCCTGGAACTGTTGTAGATCACAAGTGGAATGTGTGCCGAATTGTTGTAGATAATGAGCAATGCAGTTTGGATGCAAAAAAGCAAATACTGTTTTGGACTTCATTAATAGCAGTATCACTTCCAAATCACATATAGTACAAGTTTCCCTTTACTTAGTGCTGGTCAGGCCTCACCTGGAGTACTGCATCCAGTTCTGGCTACCACAGATAGACTGGAAAGGGTTCAGAGAAGGGCAACGAGGATGAACTGGGGAGTGGAAACAAAGCCATGTGAGGAGAGAGAGAAAGAACTGGGAATGTTTAGACTTAAGGAGACTAAGGGGAGATAATGATAGCACTGTACAAGTACTTGAAAGGCTGTCACAAAGAGGAAGGCCAATATCTCTTCTTGATCATCCCAGAGTGCAGGACACAGAATAATGAGCTCAAGTTACAGAAAGCCAGATTCCAGCTATAGCAGGAAAAACTTTCTGACTGTTAGAGCAGTATGACAATGGAATCCATTGCCTAGGAAGGTTTTGGGCTCTTGTATACTAGAGGCATTCAGGATGCGAGTGGACAGCCATCAGAGAGAGATGGCTTAGCTTGCAGACCTGTACTGAGCAGGGAATTGGACCCTCTGGCCCTTTCCAACTTTACTAGCATTGTTTGTTGCATGTCAGATCCAAAGAGAGTCATTGTGTGTCTGACCCAATGAGACTGTTGTGCCTTGTAAGACTGAAAGGGGTTCTTAAAGTTCAGGTATTGTGCATGGACATGTGCATTTACGTGCAAGTGTCTTACATGAATTGCATTGTTAAATGCATCTTTACTAGATATTTTATTTATTTAAAACTTTTGTAGACAGTCCCATGACCAAACTCTCGGGATGGTTTAACAATACAAAATGTAAATATTTTAAAAACACAGCATACAGATGTGTATACTGAGCAGTTCTTTTCTCTTGCAGGTTGTTTTTCATGGAATGCTGTTTGCTTTTATTTATCTAACATTTCAGAAGCAACAAGTCCTCTCAGAAGGAAGGGGCGAACCACTTTTCCCCAACAAATTTTCCAATGTTTTATTATTTATTTCAGTAGTTTCTTTTTTGGTAAGTTTCTCCAATTTCATGTTTAAAAAATATCTTCATTATCTTCTTAGTATATACTCTGAGTAGAGGTATTCTTAATGAAAATAAATAGTTAAGCCCGGGCATGCCATAAGAAGCCAGGCTGTTAGATTATTGACATTCATTCATTTTAGGGGATAGGGGTATGAGAAAATGATGTAATTTAGAGAGAGAAACTCTGGAAGAAATTGTCATGCAGAAGACCTCAGTGGAGAAGAAAAACATCTCTAAAGCTGTTATCCTGTGCTTGTTTACTCAGATGTAAATCCTATTTGGCATGCCTTTTTCTCAGATATTTGCAGCCTAAGTATGCATTTCACTAGAGAAGACAATCGTCCTAGGGAAATTTGAAGGAAGAAGAAGAAAAGGAAGACCAAGTATGTGAATGATTGTCTTCATAAAGGAAGCCACAGCCTTGAGTTTACAATTGCTGAGCAGGACCATCAAGGATAGGACATTTTAGAAGACTTTCATTCATAGGGTCACTATAAGTGAGAGATGACCTAGCAGCACTTAGTGACTAAAGTATAAATTGTAATGCTGACATTTCTACTGCATTCCTTTCAGTATGCTTGCTCTGTATTAGAAAAATAGTTGTCTTATACATGTTTTTATGTTTCAGACATACTCTATCTGGGCAAGTAGCTGTAAAAACAAAACTGAGTGCAATGAAATGCATCCCTCTGTATCAGTTGTGCAGGTAATTATGTTCTTTTCCTTTCCTGGGATTAAAATCTTTTTTCTTTCTCCCCAATTCTGGTATATTGGGCATGAAGTGGTAGGCTTTACAAAACAACTGACTAATCTGTTCTTTGATAATAATAGCAAAGCAGAGTTAAAAATACAGGGTTTTTTGTGGCCTGGGAGAGTATAAATGATTGATTTAAAAACCAAATCCTGCCCCAGTGTGCATGCTCATCCAATGTTCAAAGTAAGTTTGTTTTAATATTGTGGCACTACTGGAATAGCAAAAGGCTTATGACGACAACGACGATGATTATGAGGGTGTGTGTGTGCATGTACTGTGTTTTGTATAACATACTCCTTTTCCTCAGTGGTTGAGGTACACACAGTCATATACTTATATACTGGTCGTATACTGAAACCTACCCATCCATTGGAGTCCCTCTCTGGGCCATCAACTTGTCAGGGGGTAATTCCACACCCAAGTGCAAAACATGGGTGACAGCCTTGTATTGAGATGGAAGAACACTGACCCTGTTAGGAGAATTCCTTGTAGGTAAAGAATTTATCTAACAATGTGGTTCCCAGTTTCTCCTAGAGTTCACAGTAAGAGGTATTGTCAACTGAATTCCTATAACCTATGTGAATTCCATCTTAGCTGCCTTCATCTGCTTATGTGTCGCATTTTGTAGTCATGCTGGAATGTGGTGCTATAGTGTAACTAAGAAAATATTGGGGCTAAGTATTATATTGATCATTGGTGCCCAGTGAGCCCCCAGTGGCCTGCTGTAATATTTATTTATTTAATTTTAACATTTATATGCCACCCACTAGTCTAAAAGGACTCTCTAGGCAGTTTACAATAATACTTATGATTACAAATGCTAAAAACAACAAAAATGAAGCCAATTATAATGAAATCACCACAATTTTAAAACACTAAGCATTTATAAGTATACTGAGTAAGCAGGACAACAAAATAACATCATAAATAACAGATCTCAAATCAATTAAAATACCCAGACAAGATAAATATTTTACTTGGTGCTGAAATGATAACAATGTTGGCACCAGGTAAACTTCTCTGGAGAGCCTACTCCATACTTGAGGGGCAACTACCAAGAAGGCCCTTCTTCTATTTGCTGTCCCTTTCACCTCATTATGGGATGGCTCTTTCAGAAGAACCTCCCGTCCAGATCTTAATGGGCAGGTAGATATGTATAGGAGCAGACAGTCCTTTAGCAAGCCGGATCCTAAGCCATTTGGGGCTTTGTAAGTCAAAGCAAGCATTTGAAATTGGGCCCACGCTACAACTGGCAACTGATGCAGTCTGTAAAATATTGGTGTTATGGCACCCGCTACTAACTGCACTGCCCGATTTTGAACCAGTTGAATTTGACAGACCATCTTCTGCACTGAAGTAATCTAGTCTGGATGTTACCAGTGCATGCGTGACAGTGGCAAGGCTTTCTCTATCCAGGTAGGGGCAAAGTTGGTATATTTGCCACAACTGAAAGAAGGGGTCCCTGGCCACTGAGACCACCTGGGGCTCTAGTGATAGTCCTGGGTCCAGGAGCACCCCCATGCTGCGACCCCATCCAGGACACAGTGATGGCCCTCCATTCTGTCAGTACAGCAGCCCAACCAACAACACTTCCGTCTGGACTGAGTTTCAGTTTATTGGTCCTCATCTAGTCAAGTATTGAACGCAGACACTGGTTCAGCACAGATCCAATGTAAATGATAGATAGTTCTGAGTGTCATCAGCATACTGTGGATACCTCAGCCCAAACCTCCTGATGAACTCTTCCAGGTTTCATGTAAATATTAAAGAGCATGGGGGATAGTATAGAGTTCTGTGGAACCCCATGTGTCAAATACTAACACTAGGCAACTTTCCCTGCTGTATTCATATGGTTGCAGAATTTCCTGATTACTTACTGCAACATCTGGAGTTATGCAAATTAAGTTTGAAAACCATTAAGTTTGGTACTTAGAAATAGGTGCGAAATACATTGGATATATTAAAGAGATCTCCTTTAAGCACGTACTGTGATTTGTCTTTCAGATTTTAGCTTTTGTCCTTATCAGGAATATACCTGGCTATGCTCGTTCTGTATACAGTTCATTTTTTGCCTGGTTTGGCAGAATTTCTCTTGAGGCAAGTAGCATAATTTTGTTTTAATTTTAGGATACATGATCCTAGTATGTGTACAAAACTTTAGTTGGTTTATTAGCAGCTGTTCTGTGCAATCTTACATATTCTGAATTGGTATTGCAGATGGAAAAAAATGAATGAACCAAACTTCAAACTTTCATATTGTCATTTGAAATGACTTACGGTTGTTTTTCCTGTAAAGCAGAGGAGGAAAATTGCAATTCATGCTTATTACAGATTAAGGAAGGCAATGAGCAGCCTCTCCTTTTGACTCCCTTCTGCAGCCCTCTGTAAAAAGTCTGGCTTTAAGTTTCCTCAGCAAACAAGTGATTTCTGAATAGAAAGTCCATTTTTATTTATAAGATTGCTGTCAAGTTTGTCAATACAGTATATTATGAAACACATTTAACACTGAATGATACATATAAATGTTCTAAAATGAGTATTTTTAATATAAGGGAAATTTCCTATATCTTTGTTTCTGGAGCTATGAGTTATAAAATTACCTTGGCTTAGGAAAGGGAGAAAGAAGGGAAAGAAAAACTTGGGGAAAAAAGGATAAAGAAAAAAAAAATCAGGGAGCAATTCCTTGATTACCCTATCTTGTCATCTTGATGGTATCAGAACTGATCAGGCTTTCTGATCTAAGCTGAATCAGTTCACCTTTCATGTAAGTCTTCTCTCAGAGGTGGGAGGGGTTGCCTCCCACCAGCATTTGAGGTTAAAACACCCCCGGCAAGATAAAGTGACAGAGCACTCAAAGAGTGCTGATTAAACAAATTGCCATCTTCCTGGAAGCTTTCATCTAAAATGAGTATCGATGGGAGAATTTTGGAGGTTCAAACTCATCAAAGTTCTCAGGGTCCAACCGAAACTTCAGACTGCTCCATTCCCATTGCCACATGTAAGCTGTTGTTGAATGGAACAGTGTGCATTTAGGTGCACATTTTAAAATATATTTTCAAAATATGCATTTTAAGTGCACATTTTTCAAACACATTTTATAATATCATAGGCTCAGGAGTGTGAGAGGTTTGCTTGAAAAATGCAAACAGGGCATGTTCCAATGTTTAATGAACTGAAATGCAATCTCATACATCCTTAAAAAATTAACATGTTTTAATTTATGAAATTTGCACAAAGAAGCAAACAAGATTGTTGAAAAATCATAGTAAGATCCTCAAGGTATCATGCACTCTGTTGCTTGCATTTCATAAAAACCTTATGCATTAGTTTTTATTTGGATTTCCATTGCATAAGGCTGCTGAGCATACAATTAAGGATACTGTCCATTGAACAAGGTAAATGCTGCAAGCTTTCAAAAAGCACCTTTACAGTATAGAAGACTATATTTCTTCCGGTTCTTATCTGAAGCGTTTGCAAATGGTGGGCATATGCTAAAATCTTGGAGGGGCAAGGAGGAGGTGGGTATTGGGTTGGATAGGTATATAGGGCTGGATCCAAATTTAGTCATACAAGCTGTAGTCATACCATGTCTGGGTCCAATCCATAAGTTATAAACAATCTGTGTACTCATACTTCTTGAGGTGAGGAAGGAAGCTCTTTGTTTCTCTTCTGTAGTATAGTGAAGAACATTACTTTTCAGACCACTATGTTGTTATAACATACTTTACTGATAAATGTGCAGTTTTCAGAAAGGGCTCACATGTTAAAAGATGTCATGATGGGTACCATTTTTTTCTAACTTTTATTCCTTTTCTTTTCAGCTCTTCATCTGTCAGTATCACATTTGGCTGGCAGCAGATACCAAGGGGATCTTGGTCCTAATTCCAGGAAATCCCATGCTCAACATTATAGTCAGCACTTTTATATTTGTATGTGTAGCACATGAAATTTTCCAGATCACAAACGATCTGGCACAGATTGTTGTTCCAAAAGATAATGCAATGCTACTGAAAAGGTTGCTATGTGTAGGTGGACTTTTTTCTGGACTTCTCTTTTTATCATCAGTTCAATAACCATCAAAGCATTAACTTCAGAATTCCTTGAAGTTTAGCTTCAGGCTAACTTTGTGTTTGAGCCAAAATTAGTAAACTGGAATCACACACAAAGAAATAAAAGTTGTGTGCTTCTGGCAGCACAAGAAAGATACCAGTATGAAGTCTACTGAGCATATATAAGGTTGAAAGTTTTGCATGACCCACTAAAGGAAGCAGAAACAAATGCTTTGTACACCAGTGCATGTGAAAAATTTTCTACTGGAGCATTATTTATGTTTACATATCTTTCTAAAGATAATACAAAAATTAAGAGGTTAGCTCAACAGAGGCATTTAGAGACTTGCATCAACTTTTACCTTGAGGCATTATCATTGGTTAAGAATTACTAGAATAATTGAAGTTAATATATTCATAATTTTCAAGAAGCTGCATTTATTGCAAGAAATAAAATAGCAGGACCCCTTTAATTCCCTTAAAAATAGTTAAATTCTCACAGTCCATTTATTGTTTGAATTGCATCATATTAAATGGTTTAAAGATTTCAGCCAGTCTTGAAAATGTGAGATCAGATTTTGCTTACAGTAATTGGAGGGTTTCTGAACTTAAAAAGTTAGTAATCTATTTTTACTGATCACTACTCTAGATATAGCAAATGCATATCTAGAAACCCTTCAGTTACTGGGGTGGGGGACATGACCACATCCATATAATCTTATTATCCATGCTTATAAACTGTATAGCATAACACTTCAGTGAAGGCGATTTTCACTACTTTTTTAAAAGTTTCATATCTGACATGTATATGGATTGTTTCACTAGCCTTATTTTTTGTTGCTTGTTTTTTTCATCAATCTTTACAGATATTACAATTTTAAGCTCTAAAGTTCACTGGAAAAAAGTCCCCTGATATTCCTATAATAATTCTCCAATCTCCTGTTGTGCTGCTCTTTTTTTAGAAGATGCAAGTAATGAGGCAGCTAGCATACAATTGAACTCTATTCTTTCTGTCACGAAAGTAACTCCATAGGAGCTGGAGATTTGTATGGCTTGGTGAAAAAGTCAGACACTTGGCAATCATTATCTGACGTTTGTGTAACAATTACTTTGGTAGGACAACTATTTACCAGACTGCACAAGAAAAGAGGAGAACAATTAGCCACAGTAAAGAACCTCAAAAGTCTTGTATCAATCACTGTTTTAAAAGTGTTGCAAACACAGTATGTTCAAGTCACTGTATGGGTTTTTTGTTTTTTACTGTCTGCAAGCCTATGAAGAATGTGTGATTATCTGTGTTGGATGGATTGGTTTTTAAAGTGACCTTAAATTCTAAAATGGTAAATTATGTTAATATTTAGGCCCCTAGGTAAACTTTGATGTTTAGTTTTATTTTCAGTCTGACCTTTCTCTTTCCAATTAAACATGCTGTGCAGAAGTGAAAAATACTGCAGTTCAGATTGAAGATGAAGTGCAACTAAAAATGTATCAAATTAACCAGAACTCATTCTTTGTCCTTCTGAATTAGCAATTCTGGCCCTGTTTGAGTGCGTGCAGGGTAAGTTATAATAGTAGTTAGGGCTATGAAGACTGATAACATCCTATTATATCTGTTTGAAATATACGGGTCTTAATGTACACATCCCAATTTCACACTCTTTCCTTTTTTAGAAGCTGGCCCCTTCAGCTGCTTTTTGAGTAGGGTCCATTTTGAAATTCTTTTTGGGGATCAGCACACAGTTTACCTGTATGGAATTAGTGCACATGCACATACATTAGTGGTATTTTTCCCTATATAGAAAAAATCTTTGGTTCCCATACATGGGAGTTTTAAAAAGCATTTTTAGGTTTTCTGGAAAAGGAAGCAACTTTTCTAAAGAAACCTCTGCTTTAAAAAACAGGTGAATACCTGAACCCACACAATTGGGCCCTGACTTTGGGAATCAGCTGTGTGTGTCCTTGCTATCTTGGTATGTTGCATATGGTTTTAGCACTTGAAGAATGCTAAAAGAATAGACAGTATTGTTTTCTATGCATTTGTGCAATTACCTGTAATGATAAACAATATGGCTATTAATTTATAAGAAGGGTTTTTGGATTTTACTTTGACAGTGGAAACTTTGGAATTCTGTCACGGAAGGTCATATACTGAAGTATAATTACATGGGGGAAATTACACAAGAGAATAATGGATCCCTGTTTGCTTTAATTTTATGCTTAACTTGAACTACCTTGCTGAGTATGTTAACAAACTATGGTGTGGAAATTCTATATTTTCTCAGTTAACTGTCTACTTCCAATTGTGTCGAAATTTGTACTTTGTATAGGTGTGTTTGATTTACTGTTTCATTTCAGTTTAGTGAAGCAGTATAGTGATGGTTGGAAGTCAGGGGCTGCATGTACAGATAACATTCATAAAATTAAGGGGCAAGATACCTTTTATTAAGGGTGGGAGTCTTTGTTTTGTTTATAAACCAAGTATTATAGATATTTTATTTATCAGTTGTACAGATTTGGTTAAAGATTATTTTTATGTTTGAAATATTGCACTTGTTTGCCATTACTGTATGTGGGATAAAATATATTTTCTTTTAAAGTTATGTGAAAAAATATGAAGTAATTTAAACATTAAATAAATGTGCTGTAGATGGTTATTTTTTTACTGAAAGAGCATCAGTTAGGTAGAGGAACATGTGTTTGTACTTTGTGTGTGTCCATTTTTTAAGATTTCAAAAACATACTGAAGTGCTTCGTTTGTTAGAATCCTAGGCAGGGGCAATATTCTGTTAAACAGTGTACACCATTTTGCACCAGCAAACACTTTTGATGTTGTTCTAGAAGTCACAAATAGCAATGCAACATAATTTTCATTAGCTATAGTGTCAAATAGGATAGTGTCCCTTGTACTCTGGTGAGAATGAAGAAATACTGAAAAAGTAAGTATGCAAAAAAAATGCTGTGAATTACAGAAGAGCTGATAGCTCAGCTCTGCCCTAAGTTTGAAGGGCAAACTATCTAGAGCAGGGGTCTCAAACTCGGGGCCTGCGGGCCAATTGTCGGGATGGGCTGGGCACGGGGGAGGGGCCCTGCGGCCTTCAAAGCACCGGCGGCACCCAGGCCGGCCTCTGGATGAGCGGCCCACCACCACTGCGGTGGTGGATTACTTGATGTGGCCCAGCCTCACCCAGACTCTACTTACAGCGGCCCCCAGGTAAGTTGAGTTTGAGACCCCTGATCTAGAGTCTAGGACTGCTTGTTTCAGTAGAACAAATTCTACTTACACTGGATGTTTATTGCAATTAATGAAAACAAGAAGACAATCAGTATAAAAAAGGAATAGCTTTAACATCTGAGTGGACTGGCCTGTGGAATGTCATGATAACCTCTGTTAACTTCTACACTACCCTAGGCTTCCTCCACATCAAAAGAAAGTTATTTATTCCTTTCAGTTAAGCAAATAATAAATGGAGTTTACAGAAGGCACATTCAAGGTAAGAATCCATACTTAACTCTCATTTGGGGTTTTGTTCAAGAAAAAAGAATTGCATAATGCTTTTTAATAATATATATATTTGTAGATTAGCTTTTTGGACAGTAAGTAAAGGTCAAACACCATGAAATAAATCGGTTAAAAATATGAAACCATTTCCTTTGTTAATCTACTTAATGTCTAAGTTGTTAATAATGTTATTCAGTCTGATGAAACACCCCACCTCCTAGCTTTAGATATGCATATGATACTGTGTTGCAGTAATATGGTGGGATTAGACTTCACAACTGGCAGTAGAAAATAATGCTCAGCCACCAAAGAGTGCCAGACTTTGTGCATCAAAAGTCTTTCTGCTGGTTTAGCACACTTGCTTCTGATACAAAGCCAAATGTATAGAAATTTTGTACAGCATCTCCGATCCCTAGTTCTCTGCATAACCAAGATGACATAAGAAGAGGAGTCAGTGCTGTTCAATTGTATCTTCCAATAAATGCCTTCATCAGAATTAAAATTCCATACATACTGTATAGCCAGCCATTCTTTCTCTGGCCAAGCATATTGTCAGTAACTCAAGAGACTTTGGAGCACAATCAAAAAGGGCTGCAGCTCAATAAACAGCATTCTGTGACTGAAGCTTTCAATGTTATGCTCTGCTCACAGGAGCCAGGTGGCAGCAGGAAAAAGTGGACAGAGGATGGAATAATTCCTGTTCCTTCTTTTATATTTTCACTACTTCCCCAAGTTCTGACACATTCACTATTGTGACTTTACAAGAACACATGGTACAATTTGATCTCTTCATTCCCTTTCCTAAGGTTGTAGCAATGTCCACATCTCTAAGAGGAAGCATTTGCCTTATCCTATGAGCCCTGAGATGCTGTCCCAGGGTCCATTAGGTTGCTCTGTAAATTGTGTATCAGCCTACGTTACACAATAAAATAAGACTGAAAAATTAGGATCAGTCCTACCATTATGTACAGGGAAGCGGCCTCTTTTGGCAGCTGATTTTGGATGTCATGAATCCGCAGCAAACAGTTAGCAATTTAATTAATTACTGTATTCTTATTTCCAGGGAGGAGAAGCACAGGTGTGATTTATGACTTAGGGAACCGAATAACTTGAGAGGACCTGGTTTCATTTCCCTTGACTGAGAAATGGGATTTGGTACTTCACTTCAGGCAATAAAAAGGCTAACACTAAAGCATTAGTAGGACAGTAGGGTATTCTTTTAATGCTTTTGCTAATTTTCATTCAGAAAATAGTCCAGACCTAATACTTGTCATCTTTGTACAACTGCTCTTCATGTAGTGGAATACTGTTCAAAACCATGTAAGAAACTGCTAACAGTTTAATATGTGTTGTTTATTTTAAATATCACTTTAATATAACAAATATAAAAGTTAGCCTTTTACAAATTTCTTGAAAATGTCCAAAGTACAAAAAGATACATTACATTTCATAATATGGAAATGATAGCATCTGACACTGGAATATTTAATGCTTGAAGGCATGCAGAGCTCATGCATCATTGGAGCAGATAAGGAAATAAAACATGTTCTTGGTTGTTTTATTTAATTACAAATTAATTGCCTCTGTAAGCTTCCTTTCCTCAGGGATACCATTTACCTGTAAATGATAATTCACAGAAATATGTTAGAAAAATCAGAAGTCAATTGAATGTGGTAAGGTAGAAGTAAAGAATCTGAGATAAACTTTGTTCAGCCTTAAATAAATACATCTATTAGAACTTTAGAGGTTTTTACATGGTTATGCACACTTAAGAATACTTAATTTGATAGGTGACTATATAGATCAAATCCAGAATTATACTGTATTTAAAGTGTTTAAACTATAGATTTTGGACAGCCAGAAAACAAAATAGGACAGATGCAATACTTGCCTCCAATCTTTGGAATGTTGTCATTCGAAATTCTCCTTTAGTTCCCGAAAGCAGTAATAAAAAACAACTATCTTGAATACATTTCACCCTAAAATGGGTTTGTGTACAATCTGAAGTACCTTGAGTACATCAGTGTTTGCATAATTTTTCTCAAACATAACAGATACAATATTTTTCCCATTTGAAAAAATTCCAGCATAGTATCTAGGCTAGTTTGTTCCAAAAAAATGAAGTCTTGTGGTACCTTAAAGGCTAATGAACCATAGCACAAGTTTATGTGGACTAGAGTACCCCTGATTAAGCATTATCTTAATTTGACATTTGTATGCCACTTCATCAGATGGATAAAATACAATTTAGGTCTCAAATTTGTGGTAGAACAAATTAGTTGTTTTTTAAGAAAATGAAAAATCTAAGTGTTGATTAAAAGAAAATTGCTGGCATTTATCTGCCAAAAATCTACTTTTACCGCTTGCATTAAAATACAACAACATAATAAAATCTGTATTAGCAGAATACCTTTATTAGGCCAAATGAGAGATCATAAAATATTGTACAAACAATAGTTCTTCAGAACTCTTAATCAGGTAAGATGTTAAGTAGCACCTGTGTGGAGTGACTGATGTTAAAAGAATGGTTTGTACGTGTGTTTGATTACATGCTCAAGATGGAAAGGTGGGAAGGGTCTGCCCACCTTTCAAATTATGTGCTCCCAAGTACTAAAGAAGTGTATATTTATACCTTGGTTTCTCTTGTGTTTCCTGGGAAGTACAAATAATGGAAGAAGCTAAAAGGTCTAGCTGTTCACTGAAAATGGTGCCATCCTTGACCAAAACACAGGTTTCTTGCTAGGTGGAAGCAAAGTAGAGAGAAGCTAGACTGCTTTTATATTGACAAAGCTGGAGATAATTTCAGATGATATATCCATAGAGAATGAAATCTCGGCCTGAAACAGTATGTGATCTTTCTTCACTGTAACAATCCTACTGATAAATAATGAAATGTGGTCTCCATGTTTTACAAAAGAGCTGTGCTGGACCTCTACAAATTCTAAAAGCCTTTTTTACCATCTTGCCTGATGAACGCTTCAGAACTACAAAGCTTGCACAGTATGTGATGACCTCTGAGTTGTCCTTATAATGATAATTATGCAAATAAAGATTTCTGTCTGGAGTTTTTAAGGTGCCACAAGTATCTTCATTTGTTTTGTTCCATTTGAATTGTATTGGGGGTTTTTGCTTTTTTATTTTATAGTTATTACTACATGGCTATGATGAGTGAAAATATTTTTAGATTCACACATTGAGCCAGTGTGCATAGAAACAAACCAAAAATTACATATTTTTCAGCTAATCTAAGCCTGATGCATTCTGAGAACAAAGATCAGTGCACCCTTATATACAGTTTTATATTGCTTTATTTTTAGGTATGTTAACAAACCATTATCAGTCCATCCTCATGCAGCCTAAATTCACTGATTTCAAAGGCTTAGGGCACCAGCCTCTACATGAGAAAAAGACCGATTTGTAGCACTACAGAAAACATGGACCACAGTTACCAAGAAAAACATGACACTGAGAAACCTGTGTTTTCGAAAAGAATTCATAGTGCAAACTTCACCCATGTTTGCCTCATACTGATTGCAGCAACTTCTGTTTTGATGCTATAGCAGCTTTTGAATTCTATGACTATAAAATTTTTTAATTTTATAACCCTCTCATTCTGGTCTACACTTCCCTGAATTATTTGCTTGAGGAGTGCTGGTCCCAGAAAACTGTGCTACTGCATAAAAACAAATTGTAATAATTCTGTGAACGTCATTTGATAACCTGATTTAAAAAAAAATAGTCACCTTCTGTTTGCTGCTGTGGAATCCGAGTCTGATGTGGCAGGTTCCTATAAGTAATTTAAAAACACCTCCTTTAGATATATATGTGTGTCAGAGTGCTAATACAAAATCTACAGAGTAAAATCCAGTGCTTCTGCTCTGTGAAGTAATTAACAATCCTCAATAGGATGAATGGCAACATGAAAACCACATCTATACTATAATAAATGGCTATTCTGTGGAAACCTAAATTCCCACACATTTCCTGATTTTTATTCCCATGATAAAATCCAGAGCTGATACATCCAGTTCAGACTGACAAGGCAATCCTGTAGTCCCTGAGATAACGGCCTAAGAGCCACAGGATGGATCAAAACAACCTCTTCAGCTTTGAGACATAGCTCCAGTAGGGGAAGCAATCCATTTGTTCCCCCTC